AAGTATCAGATGATCAAGAAGTAAAAACAATCATATTATGTAGCGGAAGTTTAATATTTGTAGTCATTTTGAAGATTGACAGGCCACTACTGATGTCTCCACTAAACCCCAAGAATCATGTTAATGCAATGGCTCTTTCGGTTATGTGGGCATCCAAGAAAGGATTTGTTTCATGTTTTAAACACTCCTTTTGGTTATGAATTCCACGTAATTCAAATAGCTTTGGACATGTGAAAACTAGTAAAAGCTTATGCGAAAGTGCATAAATGGTTGAATTATTTGAAGACTTCTTTTGTTCATAGAAAAGAACTTCTAGAAATCCTTCAGTAATCTCTTTCCTAATCTATTCATTTTTTATTGTTCTTTATTTGTTTATTTTCAATCTTTCTATTATAAATTTATGTCGGGCAGGTCTACCATGGAAGCTATACATTTATTGAGAGGTTTGATGGAAAAGTTCAGAGATAATAAGGAGAATCTACATTTGATTTTTATTGATTTAGAAAAAGCTTACGATAAGGTTCCAAGAGATATCCTTTGGGGAGTTCTCGAGAAGAAAGGTGTTGATATGACTTATATTCAAGTCATTAAAGATATGTATACTAGAGTTGTTACTTGTGTTCAAACTGAAGGAGGATTGACCAAATATTTTCCTATTTCTATTGGATTACATCAGGGATCCGCTTTAAGCCCATATCTTTTTGCTTTAGTTATGGATGGTCTTACTGGACATCTACAAGAGGATGTACCTTGGTGTATGCTTTTTGCTGATGATATTCTTCTCGTGGATAAAACGAGAGAAAAAGCCCAACTAACACTTAGATGAAGCTAGATATTGAATTCCAAAATAATTTGGAATTATTGCATCATTTATGGAATCAACAACTGATTCCGTTGTTGATTTAGATATCTTGGGTCTGAGATGAGAATGATTTATGGAATCAACCAACTTTTTAAAAGGTGTGAACGATTTAGATATCTTGGATCTGCTGTTCAAAGCGATGGTGATATAGATCGGGATGTTAATAGTGGAATTCAAGTTGGTTGGTTGAAGTGGAGGAATGCTTCGGGTCTTTTGTGTGATAGAAAAGTACCGTTTAGACTGAAAGGAAAATCTTATAAGACGGTGGTGAGAGCTGCAATGCTCTATGGCGCTGAATGTTGGCCTTTAAAAGAGAAGCATAATAATAAGTTAAGTGTTGCCGAGATGAGAATGATTAGGTGGATGAGTGGCTTTACACTTAGAGACAAAATGCGGAATGAATATATTCGTGATAGGGTTGGTGTAGCTCCTGTGACAGACAAAATTAGAGAAAGTCGTCTTAGATGGTTTGGTCATATTAAACGTCGACCATTAGATGATCCGATTAGGAGAGTAGATGCTTTAAATTCGACTTGTGTTAAGAAAGGCAGAGGTAGACCTAGGAAGACTTGGGCTTACTATATTAAAAATGATCTTAATTTACTAGAACTAAATGAAAATATGACACTAAATAGGACGCAATGGAGAAAAAGGATTCATGTAGCCGACCCCACGTAGTGGGATTAAGGCTTTGTTGTTATTGTTGTTGTTGTTGTAATGTGGTTTATGCTTAGGAAGGTTTTGAAGAGTTCGTACTTGTAATAGTATAGCAGATAGCCCTACCCCTTGAATGATAGAAAGAGATGTTTTAGGAGTGGAATCTTAAGTAAGGAGGCATTGGCTTGGGCGTAGGACAGATAGTGTTGGACTACATAAAATCATCATGTCCATTGCCTTACAAATATATATTTTTTTTATTGCATTATTATTAGCTTAGCTTCTATTGTCCTATGTTCATGAGCTCTATATGTTCAAAGCTTATATATGTTGTCCTGTTTGTTTTTACCTTCCTTGGTGCTATTTCACATCCTTAGCAATTGTGTTTTTTTTATATCATCAATATCTTGTTTGGACACAAGACGCTATTATTTGGTTGCACTTGTAGATTGGATCAGTTGTGTTCAAATTAATGTGCTAGTGTACTTGCGTATGATCATTAATATTGTGCTTATAGCATGACCAATCATGAAAGGATCACTTTAACTGCCATACCAACATACACTTGTATACATGCATTTGATTGTTGGAAGATTTACATATATACCATGCAATTCTTATGTCCTTACATATCTAAACCCTGAACATCAATTTTTACATACATACCACCTTACCTATGCATGAAAAGGTGTATTTCACTTTTTAAAGGATAAAATGGTGATATTTTTTTATGTGATACGAATGATTTGGGTGCTATAAATGTAAAATTCAAAGTGTAGGTGTGTAAATACATAGGAATTGGGTGGTATGCATGTCAATGTCCCTTGATTATTTATAGTCGTATTTCATTATATATATTAATGAATTGAAAGAGGTGGAAAAAATTTCAAGTGCTAGTGTACAACCCAATTCACCCACTCCACTTCGCTTAGAGTGCCCATGCACTACACAAAGTTCATTCTATCTGCACACTTTCACCCTCCATAAGATAATATGAAAAAATATTTAAATGGCAGTTGCTGAAAGCTATATTTTAGCTACTTTATATCCTTAGACATTCAAATAAGTTGTTATGGAGGGTGAACTATTTGCAAGATAAATGAATATTATCATCATAAAAGGATAATTCTCTTTTGACTCTTCTCCTGAGAGGAGAATCACTATTCTACTCCCATTTAAATTTTCGTAGTACAGCATTCAAATGTAAGATCAAAATTGTTAATTCTTTCAAATGTCATAAAAACCAGTGATATGTGATATTCCCTATTTCATGAATTTCTAAGATCGTTTGATCTTAATCAAATGAATCAAATTTTACTCGATGAATGTTTCTAATTGCATAGAAAATAATTATGATTTCAAAATTCAAAATCTTTTAAATAGTTTGAAATCAATTACATGGGTTAACTATGATATCAGGCACAAATCGGGTGATTTTGATTGGTTATTACATGGGTAAAGTTAGACTTTTAAGAGAGTTTCTAAATGTTGTCAAGTCATCCTTATAGTTGTTATAAGCTTGGTAAATGTTTAAATTACCACTAAGTTGATGAGACTCAATCCATTAGTATACCTATATTTAAAATAGCAATCAACACTGAGATAATAAATTTGAAGAATATATAAAAGTGTATTAAAAAAAAAAAGTCTACTTTATAGTCCACCTCAAAGCCCATAGTGCAAGGATATTATCATTATCATTTCTAGTTTTATCTTGAATATTTGAAGCTCTCTTAATGAATCATTATTTTCCCTTCGTTCTTTGTTGAATTTAGCCTGAAGTGTTAAACTTGTTCAAAGCAAACCAATTTAAGCAACTTCTATTATTATTATCTTTAGTTTATCAGTTCATCCCTTCTCCTCTCTAAGATTTTGGCATTAGTTTATCTACCCACAAATGAGTACACATTGTCTAGTCTTCATTATGCATGCAAAGCATTGAAGTCTATTTTCAACTATCATATCTTTGATAGATGTAACTCCAATTGTCCGTATATTGTAATCATTCCCTAATTTAATCTCTCTAGCTTTGCCACATACACCTTAGTATTCTTATTTCTTTCAGAATTAGATTAGACAAAACAATTATACAATCCAATATTTAGTTTTATGCAATATAACTAGCGCAATATAAGTTCTATAAAATTTACAAGTAAATCACAATGACATCCTCATAACATATTATACTTTTGAACACTTCCACATTTTAATCATTCAACCATATAGAAATTGTATCCTCATATTTCTCTCCTTTCTTTTATATTATAAATCCAAGATTATTAAATATATTACATCTAAATATCACATTATTTTCTAACAACATTAGTTGATATATATTAATAACACACCCACAAATATTGTACATCATATTTTCAACTGATTGTAAACTTTCTTATCTTATTTACAAACTCCATTTCTTAACTCCATTGTTTTAAACTTTCACTTATTTTATCATCCATTCTTCATCTTTTAATTTCCATTATGTGCATCTACATCAATGGTAGATACTACGTAAATTAAAAGAAGAGAAGAATGGGTGCTGACATGAGGGAATTGACAAGAGAGAGAAGAAGAAAATAGATAATGCCATTTTGTGACTATTTAACCAATCCTGTATCATGTGAACATCATTTTGTTGAATAAAAATTCACACAAATATAGATGTCTATAAAATAATCATAAAGAGAACCTCAGGTTCATAGGTCTTGAAATAAATAACAAATCACTAAAGCATTATTTTCCACCAAAGCAATCCTACTGCTATTAGCCAAAAAATATTTCAACTCTGGCTTACAAATACAAGGACCATTTCATGAATGGCACTGTGAATATGAGCATCAAAAGCAAGACATAAACTGAGCACTGAATTTTGCCTCCAACCTACATGAAAGAGATTCTTAAGAAAGATTTTGTACCCGGGTTCATTTTTATCAAGACTAGAATGCATAAATGGCGTATTAAACGGTCAAAAAAATGAAAATTAATCTAAATGAGATTAAGTAAGAAACAATGTCCTGCTTCTTAATCTACCAGTGAAAATGAATGAAAAGCATGGATAGTAAGAAGTGATCCTCCTACCTAGAAGTGGAGGCTGGGCCAATTTACCAGATAGAGGAGAAACAATAAAATTTAAAATATGTTGCATCAAAAATATGCAGACGGACATTCATTTCTATTTCAAAATAAAATACGACAAACTGAAGAATCATCTAGGTCATACAATATGTAAGCGTAGATACACATGCTCATGTTATAGAACACAGCTAAGGCGACAAGGAATAACAACTATCGAAAAAATAGCATTTTTTAAGCACTAGAAGATTAAAATCTTTTTTATTGTTATAAATAAATATTTATCTTCATGATGTTGTGAGGCAAGATAATAACACTATCAAAGAAGCTTGATGTGTTAGTTTTGTACAAAAATAGTAATCATTGATAAGGATGGAAATAAAAAAAGAAAAAGATTTAGCAAAGAAACCTTTTTGTTGCTGTGCTTTGGTAGACTCAACAATGTGGAATCTATTTTAATATTGCTAGGGTTTTTGATATTCACATTCAGATCATCTGCTCTGGTATTCTGGACTAGAAGGAAAAACTCCGTGGATTCTGTAGAAAGGAAGGCATAAAAGTGATGAAATCATTTGATAAGGAGCAATTACTGCTAAAAATTTAAAATTTCTGAACATAAAATTAGTTAAAGCAAAGCCACTTAATATCCAATAAAGCAAAAAACAACACAAAGCAAAACAGATTTCAAGAGAACAAGGACCCATTTCATTTGCACCATAGATCAGATATTTTTAATACAGAATATGTATAGCAGGTTTGGCATCCGATAACCTATATTTGTCGACATCTTATTTAAGTGGGCAAAATAATCAAAGATAGCTAAATTGGAGCATTAATAAATTGTTCTTTGTTTTACATTCATGCATCTTATATTTGTTGCTTACATGGTCATCCTCAACCATGCCAAGAAAAATCAAGTGGTTTGTGCTGCAAAAATGCAATTCATACAAACATCTCTATAACCTCCACTCATAATCATTATCATCATCATCAGAATTAGCATTAGCATTAAGCCAACTATTTGGTATTAAATTTACAAATTATCATTTTCACTCTCTCTTTCCAAGTGTTGCAAAACTTCTTAAACCTATCTTTCACAAATATTTTTTAATAGCTTTTATCTATTTTATTTGAGGTCAATCTATTCTTTAAAACCCTTTAACACCAACTTTATCTGCCTGCCTGATAAGTGCAACTTCTACTTTCAGTGTACATGCACAAATCATCGAGTATGTTTTCATCTTCAAAAAGATATTATGCTAAGTGTTCATCTAGTACAACCATCCCTCAATTTTTCCTTCCAAATCTTATCTTAGATGTAATTTAACATTCACATTTTCACCAAAATCAACTTAGCCATTAACTATTTTACTTCTTAATGCCTAGATATGTACAACATAACTGGCCTGATTATAGTTTTTAAATTTTATTTTCAAGTTTCTATGATATCCTATTATACACATATAATACTCAAAAAATAATTCTCCTTCTAGCTAGCTTTAATTCTTGAAGTTATGTAATCAACTACATCTCAATCATTTGGTGTAATAGGTTAAGCTAATAAAGTCTACCATGCATAAGTATAACCTTATCTTCTAATGATATTGATTAATGATTGTTAAAAACATATTTAGTAAACTAAATAACACTAGAATTGTCAAAACAACTCGGTGTTCGCAAACAGTTCATGTTCGGCTCGTTAAGAAGCTTGTGTTCGATTCGTTCGCTAAGCAAACGAGCCAAACACAAACTACATTTTTGTGCTCGATATATAAATGAGCCGAAAACAAACAAATATTTGTAACATATTATTTTTAATGCATTTAACTTGATCAAAACTTATAGATCTCTTAGCCCCTACATTAACTTCAACATTTGCTAGCTCATTACCCTCCATTTAGAAATTTTAACTTTCTTATTACTTATATTGACTTTTTATGGCTTCTTTATTCCATAAGTGAACTTTATTGAATCACCAAAATTTATTATCAAGTGTCCATATATTATCTTCAACTAAATTAATTATTCATAAGGCGGATGAGAAATTGCATCCTATACGTGGGATTTCCCACAACTAAAGACCGGACACGACATTCAGGTCACGCGAATGGCATATAGCCAAACTGAGCGGCTCCTATTTTGATTACTTTCCAATTTTCAGCACATTTCCTTTTATCTTTCCTTTTTTTCCATTTTATGATATGTTGTATTAATTTTTGATGTATTTTCTATAGGGACAGCAGTCATCGTCTTCGGTTTCCCCTTCTAGGGCTATATCCAAGGGTGAATGGTGCTCTGACTAAAACAACACAAAGTAAAATAGTTTTCCCTTTCTCTGCAACCTTTCCTCCGCTGCAGCTGCCATGTCGTCGTAACTATTGCAACAGTCCAAAAACAGCCCTCCTTGGTTGTTTTTCTACAGTTCACCTTGATGCCGCCTTCCAAATCTCGCTCTCCTCCCTTCCGATTTGTGTCTCCTTACAAGAACCCCATCTCCTCCTCCTTGCTGCCAGCAGTCCTAAACAGCCCTCCATCCTCACTATTATAGTTGTTCCAGCGATCCTCCTTTGTTGTGGACATCCCAAACAACCCTCCTTGGTTGTTTTTTTGCAGTTCACCTTGATACCACCTTCCAAATCCCGAACTCCTCCGTTCCGACTTGCGCCGCCTTATAGGAGCCCCATCTCCTCTTCCTTGTTCCCAACACTCCTAAACAACCCTCCATCTTCACTGTCATCGTCGTTCCAGCGATCCCCCTTTCTTTTCATCATCCCGAATAGCCGTTCCATGTAGATACTTATTGCGTGCTTGTTGTCCGGAATCAGAAAAACTGTTATCTTGTTGTTTCTACTTGCTCACCCACACTTCCACCATCCCATGACCTTCCAAACCCTCACAGATCACCACCAACACCACGACATTCACCCTAGTTTTTTGTTGTCATTTATTGCAATTTTAGATTTCCTATATTATGTTGTTGTATTTCCTATTTCAGTTGTCTGGTAGTAATTTTGTATTTGGTTCAAAAATAATATGTGATTTTCTTGTTGTAGTTGGTTAGCACCTGTATCATTTGGTATTAGAGCTTAGCCTAACTCTAGTCTAATCCTAGGGTAACCTAAATCACCAACTACCTAACCCAAAATTTTTCCTTCCCACCCTACATAACACCGATACACCCTATCCCACCTACCCATGCCCCCTAAGCCACCGAGGAGATAAGAGTCAAAAGCCGATCAAGAGTTTAACATGGAAGAGATAAGGAGGCAACTCCGCCGAGTGCTACAACGGCTTGATGAAATTAAAGAAATGACCAAGAGAGGTCACAGTTGAGAGTGATAGCGAGGTCCAAGAAGGAGTGTGAGAAGAACATTTGAATCTTTCTAGTAGGGATGATTTCAAAGAAGAGGAGAATCGACTACGACGCTTCGATATTCAACATCAAAGGAGGCCGAGAGAGAAAGTGCCACTTGAAGGATACGAAGAATTAGGAAAAAAAGTGGATGTACTAGATTTTGAGAGAAGAATCAAAGCAGATGACTTTATTGAGTGGTTACAGGAAGTCAAGAGGATAATTGAACACAAAAAGCAACTAGATGGCGGCAGAGTGAAGCTCGCTGTTATCAAGTTGAAGAAAAATACATCGTTGTGGTGGGAGAATCTGAAGAGGGAGAGAAAAGAAGGTTGGGACAAGATTACTACTTGCGATAAATAAAGAAAGCGATGCAGCGCAAGTACGTACTAGTTCATTACAGACAAGACATATTCTTGAGGCAACATCACTGCATCTTTCCCAGCTCAAGAACCCATCCTCCGCATCCTTTTATCCAACCCCTTTGCCGTCGTACCTGCTATAGCTGCCCGGAAGCATCCTTCCATGGCTATTTTTCTGCAGTTCGCCTTGCTGTCGCCTTCCAAACCCCGCACTCTTCCCTTACGACATGTGACCGCTTTTCAAGAAGCATATTTCCTCCTCCTTGCTGCTAGAACCCCTAAACAGCCTTCCAACTTCGCTGTCATTGTCATTCCAATCCCCCATCATCGCAGCCGTTGCTTTCCTGCCACTTGAAGGATACAAAGACTTAGGAATAAAAGTGGATATACTATATTTCGAGAGAAGAATCAAAGCAGATGACTTTGTTGAGTGGTTGTAGGAAGTCAAGAGGATAATTGAATAGAAAGAGCAACTAGATGGCGGCAGAGTGAAGCTCGTTGTCATCAAGTTGAAGAAGACAGCATCGTTGTGGTGGGAGAATCTAAAGAGGGAGAGAAAAGATGGTTGGGACAAGATTACTACTTGAGAGAAATGCAGAAAGCGATGCAGCGCAAGTACGTACCAGTTCATTACAGACAAGACATATTCTTGAGGCAACATCACTGCATCTTTCGCAGCTCAAGAACCCATCCTTCGCATCCTTTTCTCCAACGCCGTTGTCGTCGTACCTGCTATAGCTGCCCAAAAGCATCCTTACATGGCTATTTTTCTGCAGTCCACCTTGCTGTCGCCTTCCAAACCCCGCACTCTTCCCTTACGACATGTGACCGCTTTTCAAGAAGCACATTTCCTCCTCCTCCTTGCTGCTAGAACCCCTAAACAGCCTTCCAACTTCGCTGTCATTGTCATTCCAATCCCCCATCATCGCAGCCGTTGCTTTCCTGCCACTTGAAGGATACAAAGACTTAGGAATAAAAGTGGATATACTATATTTCGAGAGAAGAATCAAAGCAGATGACTTTGTTGAGTGGTTGTAGGAAGTCAAGAGGATAATTGAATAGAAAGAGCAACTAGATGGCGGCAGAGTGAAGCTCGTTGTCATCAAGTTGAAGAAGACAGCATCGTTGTGGTGGGAGAATCTAAAGAGGGAGAGAAAAGATGGTTGGGACAAGATTACTACTTGAGAGAAATGCAGAAAGCGATGCAGCGCAAGTACGTACCAGTTCATTACAGACAAGACATATTCTTGAGGCAACATCACTGCATCTTTCGCAGCTCAAGAACCCATCCTTCGCATCCTTTTCTCCAACGCCGTTGTCGTCGTACCTGCTATAGCTGCCCAAAAGCATCCTTACATGGCTATTTTTCTGCAGTCCACCTTGCTGTCGCCTTCCAAACCCCGCACTCTTCCCTTACGACATGTGACCGCTTTTCAAGAAGCACATTTCCTCCTCCTCCTTGCTGCTAGAACCCCTAAACAGCCTTCCAACTTCGCTGTCATTGTCATTCCAATCCCCCATCATCGCAGCCGTTGCTTTCCTGCCACTTGAAGGATACAAAGACTTAGGAATAAAAGTGGATATACTATATTTCGAGAGAAGAATCAAAGCAGATGACTTTGTTGAGTGGTTGTAGGAAGTCAAGAGGATAATTGAATAGAAAGAGCAACTAGATGGCGGCAGAGTGAAGCTCGTTGTCATCAAGTTGAAGAAGACAGCATCGTTGTGGTGGGAGAATCTAAAGAGGGAGAGAAAAGATGGTTGGGACAAGATTACTACTTGAGAGAAATGCAGAAAGCGATGCAGCGCAAGTACGTACCAGTTCATTACAGACAAGACATATTCTTGAGGCAACATCACTGCATCTTTCGCAGCTCAAGAACCCATCCTTCGCATCCTTTTCTCCAACGCCGTTGTCGTCGTACCTGCTATAGCTGCCCAAAAGCATCCTTACATGGCTATTTTTCTGCAGTCCACCTTGCTGTCGCCTTCCAAACCCCGCACTCTTCCCTTACGACATGTGACCGCTTTTCAAGAAGCACATTTCCTCCTCCTCCTTGCTGCTAGAACCCCTAAACAGCCTTCCAACTTCGCCGTCATTGTCATTCCAGTCCCCCATCTTCGCAGCCGTTGCTTTCCACCCCCCCACCCCCCAAAAAAAATGATGTCATCATTCCGAAAAGCCTTTTCACATTGATACCTATTGCGTACTTGTTGTCCGAAAGCCAAAAAACTGTTGCATTGCTTGCCCACCCCCTCCACCATTCGGCCACCTTCCAAACCCTCGCCGATCATCACCACCACCCTGAGATCAACCCTGGTTGAGTTTGTGTTGTTAATTGTTGCAATTTCACATTTCGTAAGTTATGTTTTTTGTTATTTCTTAGTTCAATTGTTTGGTTATAATTTCTGATTTGGTTTGGTAATAATATTTGGTTTTTCGTTGTTGTTGTTTAACTCTGGTATCAAGGGCCTCATTTAAGAAAATAGCTTTCAAGCACCATTAACAATATTTTGAAATATACTAAACATAAAAGCATTAAAAGATTTATGATTCATCAGCCATAACAAAATATGGAGGATACATGATTCAAACTACAGAGATGAGCAACCAGAATTGATGTATAACATGCTAAATTTAAAGTAGTAGTGGTTTGTATATTTATTAGCCACCAAGATTGTAAGGTTCCTTCACTTCTTCAGGTATATTATCCTCCACCAAATCCCGGGAGCCATGTCTCCTCCGAATCTAGTAGTGTCGTATGGTCCCCCTTTCTAGGAGATTGCATAAGCTTATCAACTTCCTTATTAGAAGCTTAGGGTGGTATGTCTCCTCCCATCGTAGGAGAATTTGAGGAAGCATTATCCTTAATATTCCTAACTAAGCACTCTCAGGTTCAAGTTTTCTCGTCCAATAGAAGGCACTACTTCGGTCAAAACCACTGAAGGTGGGACTTTTAGAGTTAGTAAATCAAAATATTAAGAGGTTGTAGGCGATAGGCTAGAATGGCATAGCGAGTTATGGCCCTAAAACAATATAGCAGGAATTTGATTTGGATTAGAGATAGAAGGGAAAAAAGAACCTATAAGCAAATCTAATAATCATAAAATTCATTATGGACTCTAGGAGCTTACTCTGAATTATATGATCACAAGTTTGATCCCATACCATTTGAGCCTCGTTAAGCTTTTCATCTCCCACATATTTCCCAATCTAAACCCGATGATTCACCCCATTTGAGGAATTGGATGCCACAATCATGGCAAAAAAGCGATATCCATGTTAGATGTTCTTCTAATTTTATAATTGGAGTATCGAGGTATTGATAGCTTGTTAATCATAAGAGAGTGGTTCTACAACAACAACATTCTAAAACAGTAGAGAAAAACCTAAGCAATTACTAAAAATCAAATCGTAGCAATTATGTAATAATGAACTACTTTATTAGGAGGATTATTGGGTGGGTGGGTGTGTTTGAGAGCGTGTGAACTACTTTATTAGGAGGACTATTTCTGGTTTTGGGGGTGGGGGGAAGGTTGATCACGTTGTTTCTTTTCCCAAAATCAAAGACGATCAACTAAAAGCTTGCCATATTGTTAAAAAATTAAGTTTTCTTTTGCTTCTACCAGAAGGTTTCTTTTGTATAATTGAATGATAGTTTTGAGAAAGCCTACAAAATTTAGAAAGCCACCAGTTTTATAAATTTAACCAAACAGACAAAAACATATAATTACTATCAAAATTTCGTTATTCTTTCGCACAGAAAAATATATTTTGATATAAGCATGGGGTTACCACCATTTCCATCAATGCATTTTTCTGATCCTGTTTGGTTAATGCCTATAGTGATTTATGATTCATGTAAAGTGCAAGTATATGTTTCAGTTGAATTTAAAGGCTCACTCCAATGTAGCTGCTGAAATAAACATACCCAAATTACAAAATAAAAGCAGTTGAAGAGCATAAAAGGAACAATAACACTCATTATGAAAACTCCCAAAACATACACTGCAAGCTCTCATCTCAACCTTATAAAAACTATTATGGTTCAAATCATACTCAAATCATTTTATCATATTATATTATAACAAAAACTTTGCCAAAACTGTACCACATCTTACAGCCTTTGCTTCTTTTTGTTTTCCCTGTATCTTCTACTATCATTTCCGCCATCATATTATCCATAAGATTTAGCTAAAATATGCTTTTCATCGTCCTTCTCACATTCACTATAACTAGATCTTGAACATCTAACCTTCTTATGACTTAATTGGCACCAATATGCTTGTTTATTGCCCAAGTTTTCTTTGAAAAAAGCAGAAGTAAACATCAAATATCTATAAGTTAGCTTAAATACCTTTAATTAGTCTGCATATCATTTCATCAAAGAGAAAAGATCCCAAGCATCATAACTCTTGATTCAGAAGATAATAATTGTATATATACTAGAAAATTCATTTTATATGAACTATAATAAAAAATAGAGGTTATGAGCCTCATCTCACCAATCCCAGATGGCAAAAGACAAGCTACCAACGCTCCTTTCTGGCATGTAAGATTTGAATCATTAGCAGTTTCACAGCTCTTATTTTTACTTTTATCACCCTCCGAATCTACGATTTCATGACTCCCATTGGGCATATTATCTTTTGTTGGAGCTTGAGAAACCATGTCTTCTCTCTTCTCTGGATCCCGTGGAGCCTTATCGCCTTCATTCATGGGAGATTGCACAGGCTTATCACCTTCCTTCTTAGGAGTTTCAGACGCCTTATGCTTTTCCTTCGTAGAAGGATTCAAAGGAGCATTATCCTCTCCCTGGCTGGATGCTCCCGGGTTCAAGTTCTCTGGGCCGGGAGGAGGCACTGTTTTGGTGGAACTATCCACTAAAGGTGAACTTTTAGAGCTAGAAGTATCGGATTTGTCAGAATTTGGCATAGATTGGTTAGATTGGGGCGGCGAAGGATGGCCCTGGACTGTTGGAGCTGCGTTTTGGATTGGACGAGGGATGGAAGGGGGAGAAGAAGCAACCTGTAACAAAAACTCCATGTTAATGACTTTCATGATGGAGTCTTAAAGCTTAATGTATATAATATGATCACAAGTTTGAACCCATACCTTCTCTGACTCATTAGGTTTCCCATCTCCCTTATCTTCCACCGCCAAAGCCCGGTGTTTCACCTCAGAGGCATTAGACGCCACGGCAATAAACAAAACGCAGAGCATCGTCATGGCAAACACCTTAATATTATTTTCCATGCTAGATATTCTTCAGATCTTACAGAACAAACTGGACGATCGCGGCATCACCAGTTTGTTAATTGCAGGCGAGATGGTTTTGCCACTACCACATCCTCAAACATCAGAAAAAAAAAAAGAATTAGCGATCAAAAGATTCCTCTGGGATTAGCTTCAAGCCAGACCAATCAATTCCCCCAAGATCGGCTTTGTGCTGACGAGGAGTCAGCAGAAATAGGTTTTGCTAGTTTTCGCCGAGGTAACTAAAAGAGATTGAAGGAGAACGCAGTAAGACATCTATGGGAGCCGAAGAAGACGCCGACTTCAGACCGAATGAGATCGGAATCTGGAAGTAGGACTCGGAGTTTCTGCAATTGTTGGCCGGGGAACTTACGGGCCTGTGAAATATCTTCTAACCAGTTCAACAAAACCAAGCTGAACGCAAGAAATTTGGGAAACAAAATATTAAACAGGGGAAGACGCGGATTCATAACACTCATTCTTCAAGTACTTCTCTTTCTCACGCCTACTTTAATTTTTATATATATTCCATCTATTTTTTTCATGTGCTATTAAATATTTGATTGGTTTAGATATAAAAAGTAATATTTAGATGTTAGATATGTAAATTACATGGAAATTGAGTGGTGTGTATGATATATCCTAAAACCTAAAATAAAGTAGGTTGATTTAGATAATGTTGAATTTTGTTAATCACACCCAAGAAATAGAATGCAAGTAAGCAGAGATTGTGATAAAGCGACAACAAGAACACTAATATGTCGTGTTTTAATCATAAAATTATTCTCCTATTTATAGATGATAGGGTACAAAACTAATATTACATTTTGGCTCATATTTTAAAGGGGTTCGTTCGAAGGTATTTCTAGTGTTCTACACATGTATGTCCGTCGTCTGGCTGCTTTCTCACTTGATTGGCTGACCTTAGCTAGCTTTGGGTGGGCAAAATTAGCTAGTTCTGCTAAGTTTGGTCGATATGAGTCGACTAGCTGATACGGCTTGACCTGTTGATCCTTAGCCTGTGACGTGGAACTTCTGGGGCGTCCCTCGTATGGTCGGAGATATTATGGAATCAGATCTTCCCTTGGGTCAAAACTACTAAAGGGTTTGTATCAGGTAAGTTTTGGCCTTGCTGGCTTGGCTCAAATGTTTTTTTGTCTTGCATCTTGCAAATTGGCTAGGGCTAGAGTCATTCGATCGTATTTTTGTCAGTCTCGTGGCTCGATCTAATTTTGGAGATTGTAGGGTGATAGTCTAAAATCTCCAATTCGATCTCAGTGTTTAAGAAGTAAAGTAAGAGTTAACCTTCAGGGGAAGGGAAGTGGGAGCTCTGGAGTGGGAGTCAGTATCCTCCTAGCCTAGCTACGATTTAAGGATTAAACCTGACCAATGATTTTCTATAACACAACCAATGATTTTCTATAACACTGAATCAGGGTAGAGAATTAAAATTGCTCTTATTTTTTACAATACAATTTTAAACCATTTATTTCATCTCATTCCACCAAAAACTCATTGTAGTGAGAAAAATGTTTTTCCATATTAGTGTTGACCTCACTTTTGGTTGAGGTCTAGAAATTTCTTTAGTAGCCTAGGTCTAGCCATAGGATTTTCCCACTGACTAGCATTAGAAAACTAGAAAAGGTACCCCCACCATTAGAAACTCAAAACTCTTCTGTTTACTCAACTTGAAGTTCCACATATTGGTTCTAACCTCTAGCACTTAGTAGGTAAGATCATTATGAGAGAACTCAAGGAAAGTTCCTATAAGGCTACTTGACCTTAGGATTCACCTCACCATACCCTCACCTAGGGGTGTAAACGAATAGAACACGAACGAACAAAGCTTGTGTTCGTGTTCGGTTCGTTTAAAATTTAGTTTGTTTGAAATAAGCTCGTGTTCGTTTCTTAACGAACGAGCCGAACACAAACCGAACACGAGCTGTTCGCGAACGACGAGTCAGTTTGACATCC